CACATATACACACACACACACACACACACACACATAAGAGAGAGGCACATACATACATACGCACACATGCACATACATACATATACGCAAGCAAACAAGTGCACATGCACGCATAAATACACACACACACACACATATACATAGAGAAATGCACATACATACACACATGCACACAGATAAATGCACATACATACATATACACAGGCAAACAGGTGCACATACACAAATACATACACATACATACACACACATACACGTACGCACATACACATACATACACACATACATATACATACACACATGTACACATACACACAGATATGTATATCCAACCATTAGTCGAATCATGCAAGAAAAAAGAAAAGTATACGAAATTTCTATCAGCTTTGCATAAATTTTTATTAAAAAGATGTTCACCACATTTGATCAATCAGTCAGTTTTATTTAATCATTTGGTTAATTAGTTATTGAATTGGTTAATTAATTAGTTGGTTAGCCTACAATTGGGTGCTACCATCGGCTAATACATCTTTCATTTACATACATCATTGTCATCATCATCATCACTACCATTATCATCATTATCGTCATTATTACTATCACCGTTATCCTCATTATAATTATTGTTCTCGTCGTCTTTATCAATGTCATCACTAATCCAAAAGAAAAGTGATTTATGCTAATTTTATTTGTATTAACCATTTTTTAAAAGAATGCAATTAAACAATTGGAATGGTTAATGAATGATATTAACTGATATGTAAATGAATTATCCTTAAAATTTATATTGATAATATTATTGTGAAATTAAACAATGAATATTTTTTTTGGAAATTAACAGATGAAATGGAAATAATTAAGCTATTCGAAATAATTTATGCTAATTTTTACTATCGTTGCCTCTATTGTAATTATATATTATAGAGATGAAAGTAAGTTTTAATTTTATAATTAGATCAAAAAAATGTTTTTTTTTCGTATTTATTTAAATATAAATATGATTTAGATGGTAATTTGTTAGAAAAATATATAAAAATAAACAATATTAGTATGCAAATTTTGAAAGTTAATGATATGTTGGAATAAATCATTCAATAAAGTTATTATTGAGAATTTAAAAATTTAAATTTTATTATCCTTTAATTTATTTTATCATTAATGTTTTCAATTTCCCTTTATAAGTATAAAACAATAATTCAATAATGAATATCGGATAGATCCTAAAAAAAATAATAAAACAACTATTAGATGAAATAATATTAGCTAATGATAATTTTAAATGAAAAATCTTTTTTTTTTAGATAGAAATGATTATTTAAATAAATAAAATTTGAAAAGTAATATTATCATCATTGATAATAACTAGCATGACAGCTATTACAATCGATGACACGAATAATATGTCATACAACGGGATAGTTATTATAATTGATGTATACGGATGATATAATATGTAATGGAATAGCTACTATAGACGATGATACCAAAGACATGAGCAATGATATCGATGATATAATATGTAGTAGGATAGTTATCAATGATAATCAATGATACGAATGATATGGTATAGAACGGAATAAGTATTCGAGATAAAACAAAACTATACTGTAAAAATTGAGTAATTTTATTATTCAATTCGAATATAAAAAGGGAACAAAAAAAATGGTAAGATTATTGGTATTAATTGTAATTGAAAAGTTTTTTTCCTTTTCATTATTATAATTTCATCGAAATAAGTGAAATTTTTATTCGTTTTTTAAATTTTAATTCAATATAATCGTATATAATTTATTACTAGAAATAAAAGAGAGAGAGAAAAAGAGAAAGAGAGAAAGAGGGAGAGAACTTAGTAAAAATAATTAATTCTAATAATTATTGTGCTACTTATTTTATTCCTCTTTTTTTCTTTTTTTTTTTTACAACATCCGATTTTGGCTGATACGATAGACAATGTTGATTACAATTCTAGCAGGAGCCAACTAGCCAAGTAGTTAGCCAACTAGCCAAGTGGCTTAAATTAGCCAAGTATCTTTTAAAAAGCTTTTTTTGTTATTATATATATATGTATATACATAAGTGTATGTGTGTGTGTGTATGTGATCAAAAATTTATTTGTTAAAAACAAAAACAGACGAAAAATAAAAAAAGAAGGATTTTATTTTAGAAAAAAAAAAAACAGAAAATGGATAAAATTCATTTTGAAATGAATGAAAAATATGAAAAGATTATATAATTAGAGAGGAAGAAAGGGAGAAGGAGAATTTTTTTTTTTTTTTTTAGGATAGAAAGAAACATAACAAGGGCATATTAAATAACAAAAACTAAAAAGGAAATGAATAAATAATAATAGATAAATTGGGAATAAAAGGGATAGAGAGGAGGAATGAATGAACGATAAAAAGGCGAAAAGATTTTGTTGAATAAAATAGCAGCTGTGTAAACGTTTCAATGGTAATATTACTCTAAATATGAGATAAAGGTAGAATGGAAAAAAAAAAAGAATGCTATTATTAATAGCAAATACTTAATAATTCAAAAAAAAAATTATATTAAATTAAAGGAAAGATAGAAAAAAAAAATAAAAGCCAAAATTTTTTTT